ATTAGTATTTGGAAGAATTGAAATGAAAGGGAATTAGTATTTGGAAGGGTTGGGATGAAAGGGAATTAGTCTTTGGAAGAATTGGAATGAAAGGGAATTAGTCTTTGGCAAGGAGGCCAGAGGATGGGGTTGACTAATAGGGGGGGGGTACCCCACTATTAGACGGGGGTAGGGGGTGTATGGGGGGTAGCCTTTCTGAGCTTCTTAAATTGAAGATTTTGATAGAGTTTTAATAAGGGAAAATAAAAGAATTTTCCTAGAGAGTTTTTGGAAATTCTAGGAAAACTGTTGCTTTGGGAGAGCATTGGTAATCAATCAGAATGGCAAAACATAAAACAAAACTAATTAAACACATATATATATTGTAATAATTATATTTTTCCTGGGGGGACAGGGGGTAGACTAATAGGGGGGGGTTCAGCCAAGAAAAAGATTTATTAGAGGGTGGTGACTGTGGAAATTAGTAGTTCAAATTAGTTTATTATTGGGGCCTGAACGCTGGGTAGACTAATAGGGGGGGGTTGCCTAATCCTATGTTGGCATTAATCCTTGACATCTTCAGCTCCCCCATGCGCCGAACCACCCGCCTTTCACCCGCCACACACCCCGCCGGTGCGTCCGGGTACCGAGGTGCCTGAGCCTTTGTGCACAAAGGCCACGCTCTCGCCGCCGGTGCACAGGAGACAAAGAGACGAGAGTTGTCAGAGAGTCGCGTGGCTGTCTAAGACTGCAGGAACTACAACATACAAGGGCACCTACAAGGGCAAGGAAAGGCATACAAGGGGTTTACATGGGTTTACCATTTTCTTCCCATGTTCCCAATATTCTCCTTTGGATGGTCCAGTTCACCGTTATATAACCGCTTTAAATGCAATGGATCCTCGGATCAGTTTCAAAGGCAAACGGAAGGGTAGTGCACAGAAAGGGTTTTGCAAAAACCGGTTCTACTAACGTCGTGGAAGGCGCGTGACCTTCGTAGAACCCAAGGCTGTTCGTGGACAGTTCGTGGAACGGTGGGCCAGTAGGAGAACTGACTGCAACGAAATCCCAGAAACCTTCGCAGAACTTCGTGGAAGGTATTTTTGATGCACTAACTTCGTATAAGCGATTTTTGCTGACCCCCTTTCTCCACACACCCTCCGTTTAGCCTTCACAGTTGCGGATCTCGACCGAGCGCTGCAGGACATCGAGGCGGGTGACGTTCACGATGATTCGCACGGGATGGTCGCGGCTTACAACCGGATGGGGCACAACTTCAGCAGTGGCTCAGCAGAAACTGTCATGTACCAGGGCCCCCTGTGCAGTAGGTGGTTAATGGTCATCCCTTAACTTCTAAGGAGCTATAATTATTATAGTTGGACACCCTTAGGAGGCCCTGGTATACAACGTATACCAAAGTTCAAGCTGCCCAATATCTATATCGCAGCTCAACACATGATGTCAGACGCAATGGGTATCAATCGGTGCACCGTGACTTTGCAGCGTTTGGCCACACTGCAGTCCGGTCCACCGTCCGACTGCTCAGGAAAGCGCGGCGATTGACCAGCTCCTGAATACGCACCGGGCGCTCCTCCTAGATGGAGGCGAGGGATGAAGCCAGGAAACGATGGATTCTCCGACGGTGAAGGAGATGAGATGAGTATAAAGAGAAAGACACACAGGAGTTCCGAAGGCGTGGTGACTAGACTAGACCCTACATGAGCCGATGAAAAGGCTCCTGATGTTTAAATATGACACGGAAGATTGCAGGACTAAACTTTGAAAAAAGGGTATCAAGACGTCAAGACCAGGTTTGCTTGCAAAGCATTTCTCAATTATGCATGCTGCATGCACTTGTAATACATAATCATATTCCCTTGTTTTCTTCACGGAAAAGGCAGAGTTGGGATCATCAAGAGAATCAAAAGGTGATCTGTCACTTTAACCATTGTGCATTCTGGCATGTTCATGCAGTTTTTTGGTTTTAGTTATTACTATTCCTGTAACACGTTTTGAAATGGCAAGAATCAAAATCAGTTCAAATGAGCCCCTCAACGCTCGGGCTCAAGTCGCTTGAGAACCGCGCTGCAGGACGTGCCGAGGTGGGTAGTGAAGCTGGCTACAGTGCTTTGAGCTCGCAGGGGGGGAAAACGAGCTGGTTGGATGGGAAGCAGTCAACTCTGAGACAGCTGCAGCTACCGGCTGGCGATGGGGAAGAACAGAAACACATGAGTTTCTGTAAAGAAGGGGAAGAACATTTTCCCCAGCAGTTGCAGAACTTGAAACATGTCACCTCGTTGGGAAGATCAAAAAGGCGTCCCTGTTTGGATTTGACGCCCTCAACAAAAACCCGCGAGTTAAGTTACGGGGGGGGTCCCACTTGATTGATCCCTGAAAATCCAAGCACCTTCTCAGAAGGTACGACTGGATTCTCCAAACCTACTAGCTGCTTCTTGTTCCTAGTAGTAATGCCAGGAGCTACTAGTAACTAGTAGCGTCCTTGCTGCTAGTAGCGATGGCTTCCAACCTAATAGCGATGGCATCCACCTAGTAGCTTCTTGTTGCTAGTAGCAGCAGCTTACATAACAGTGTCTCCAATCACCTTCTCAGAGGGTGGGCAGTGGATCGTTTGGGAATGATCACTTTGCCTTGATATTTGAGTCCCAGTGGTCACAGGACCTCGTCGGCTTGAACACCAGAGTCTGCCGAGCGAGGTCACATCGTGACGTCACGGGGTGGACCAATGCTTCCATATATGTGTGTTTGTTGTTCCTAATAGCATGCTTTGGTTTTCAGCGGTCAATGGAGTTCCACCCAATTCTTATCCATGATCCACAAAAAGCTCCAGTTCACTCCATTGATTCGAAGCCTATAGAAGTCTTTGACTTCATCATTGGGGAGCATCAGACGTGAATTGGAGAATAAAAGGCAACCACCGCCTCGTGCGAGTCCAGCAATAGCTGAGGCCGCCGCGGTTCGGTTTTCGGGTCGTGCCGATCGAAGCGATGTCAGCCCAGGTGCTTGCGCCATTTTCCTGAGCTCCGTAGAGACCGCTGCGAAGACCTTTTGTCTTGAGGCGGCAAGATACTCCGTTATTGATTGAAGATACTCCGTCATCACATAAGTTCACAAAGCTTGAAGGCGATCCTGCGATCAGTATTGGTGTCAAGTTGTCACAACTCGCTTTGTCCCTGCCTGCTTTTGGGTTCTGCGCGGTTGCAGCTTGCTTGCATCCCTGGACCGCTCCAGCTGCCGAAAATAAAACTCATGCAGAGTCCAATGCCAACCACCTCACTCTTTCTTGGAACCCCTCCGTCATCTGACCAAACCGCGCCCGTCATCTGACCTCTCGACCGGTCTCTGTCCTCGGTGCCAGGCGGCGCCCCGTGGATACCGAAAGAAATTCTCGGCCAATTATCGTTCGGGCCGCCCAGACCGTGAGGTCGGAGGTGAGATCGGTTTTTCGGCAGAAGCATGGGGCGAACGGGGTTTGGGCCGAGTTCAGCGGGGTTTTCAGGTGTTTGACTTCATGACCCGTGCTAGTTTCAGGAAGAGAGAAAGTCTTCCGAGTTGTACGTGTAGACCTTTAACCTTTATTGACAACTCCCTTGAGTTGCAGTGGTTGAACAGTAACAAGAAGCTACTAGGGGCTCCTGGCATCGCTACTAGGAGCAAGGACGCTACTAGGGGCTCCTGGCCTTACTACTAGGAGCAAAGGACGCTACTGGTCCGCACCGGAAGACTAGGTCAATTTGTCGGATCTTAGCGGAAGATGCACCGAGTGAGTCGTTTGGTCCGCGAAAGAGCGAGGTGCACTCTTTCCAGATGATGCGCGACACTATCGCGTTGATGTACTTGAAGCATGGCGCCCAGAGACCAGAGACTTTGTTTGATCAGGGACGGCAGGCTGGCTGACTGGACACATCCATCTAGTGAAGATGTATATCAGATATCATGTCATTAGAGTATCGAAGTATATCATGTGTACATAAGGGTCTTTCGGTGAAGCTCGCTGTCGGTCTGAGGCAAGTGCAGACCAACACTCTGCAATTTGGGTGAATGGAGACAAGTTTGAGCTCAGCCCAGAGGCCTGCGAGCGCCGAAGGTTCTTGCAGGGTGTGTAACGCAAACATTGATGACTATTGTAT